ACCATAGTGACAATCACAAGACTCGTGATAGTAACTCCACAGTCGACTTCAAGCAACTATGCAACTCGGAGTCGTTCGTTCTTCGCTGGCTTTGTCAATCCGCAGCAAAACCGGTTTCATTGATGGATCGTTTGCAGCACCAAAGAGAGAAGATGCTCTGTTTGGACCATGGTCGAGATGCAATAATTTGATAATTTCTTGGTTGCTTAGATCAATTTCATCACCAATTGCTCGCCATAATTTTCTATATGGATTCTGCAGTAGAAATATGGAGAGTACTACGAAACGCTTCTCGTAGGTAGATGATTCTAAGGTATGCAATTTGCAGCACACATTGAGTTCGATCACTCAAGAAAGTCGCGAGTGTTGATGAATATTTTACCGAGTTGAACTCGGTTTGGGAAGAATTGAGAAACTACGAGCCTCTACCACATTGTGAATGCGAGTAAGTGTAATGTGGATTGTTTCAAGAAATACATTAACCTTCATCAAAAGGATTGTGTATTTCGTTTCCTTAATGGTCCGAATGAGTCTTATGCAGCATTAAGGTCAAATGTGATTATGATGAAACCTTTTCCCTCACTTGATGAGGTTTACAACTCGGTGATCGGAGAGGAGTCACGAAACGAGGTCATTATCCTCAACCATTTGTTACGGAATCATCGGCTATGATCGGCGAAGTGTTTATCATAATAAATCCGGGAATACTCTTATGTATACACACTCGTGAAAAGTCGAGCCACACCAAAGATAGGTGTTTTCGTTTGGTTGGATTTCCAAACAATCCAAAATTTGCTAAAGGAAGATCCACTTCCTCTACTGCGATCAACTCGACTTTGCTAGAGGAAGAGCTAATTTCTGTTAGGGTTAACTCGGTGATTAAACGGAATGATGCAAACACTCTCTCATACACCGATAAGGCAGAATATTAGGTTGACACTAATTTGAACTCTACCGCAATGTGTTAAGGGAAAGATATAAAACCACGAGCATTGTTCACTCGAGCATCAAATTCAATATTTGCTAGCTTTTCTCAATGAGCAATCTACTTCATCGCATCTAAGGTTTCATCGAAACTCCTAGCAATACGAGTAATAAATCCCCTACCATTTCACGTTTCGTTGTATACAATTGCCACAATGTGTAACATATTTTATGAATAATGATGTCCGGATCATAGATACGGGAGCTTCAAATCATACTTGCGTGTAGTTTAAGTTCTTTTACTTCTTTTCATACCATTGATAACACGTTTGTGATAATGCTAGATGGTTCTAAGGTTATTGTTACACATTCTAGTACCGTGGCTTTATCTTCAACACTCGGTTTTGAATAATGTCCTATTTGTGCCTTCTTTCAAGTTCAATTTGATTTCTATTAGTAAACTCACTCAATCCAAAAAGTTTTTCATTAATTTCAGTGGTGAATTTTGTTTCATTTAGGCACTAGCTTCTTCGATAGTGATTGGACTTGCTAAGGCCAGTAGAGGTCTTTACTTACTACAAAGTTCATCCGTTCGCCTCGCTCTTCATCTCTTGTCAGTCAAGTTTCAAATTCCAACCACCAATCTATTTTTGTCAATAATGTAGGTCCTTTACTTGATGCCACAAACTATTTTGATCTATGGCATTTTAGGTTAGGACATTTATCTTTTGACAAACTTAAGGTCATTCATCAAAACCGTAAAGAAGTTCGGTTTATCTCAAAAACAAATAAAATTCCATGTCTTGTTTGTCCTATGGCTAAACACAAGCGTTTAACTTTTCCCACTCATACACAGAGTACTACTGTCCCCTTTCGGTTGATTCATGTGGATATATGGGGCCCTTATTCACAATCTCGCCATTGGTAATTTTCAATATTTCTTAACCATTGTTGATGATTTCACCCACATGACCTAGGTTTTCTTGATGGAACATAAATCCGGAGTTAGTTCCATTCTTCCTAGTTTCTTTAATCTTGTTAGTACTCAATTTGGTCGTGTCATTAAACAAATTCGATCGGATAATGGTCCCAAATTTAAACTACATCGGCTTTATTCGAAAAGGCATTTTGCATCGGTTATCTTGTGTAGAAACTCCTCAACAAAATGGTGTTGTTGAGAGGAAGCATCAACATTTGCTAACTACTACTAGAGCCCGACTTTTCCAATCCCATTTACCTATTTCTTTTTGGGGGATGCAATTTTGATAGCAACTTACCCGATAAACGGACTACCTTCTCCAAGTGTTACGAATAGAAGTCCATATGAAATTCTTTCCCACAAACCTCCCTCTTATGGTCATTTAAAGGTTTTTGGATGTCCGTATTTTGCCTCTACCCTTATCTATGGTAGGAAAAAGTTTGAATCTAGATCTAGACAATGCATATTCATTGGTTATCCTACTCGGTATAAAAGGCTACAAACTTTATGATCCGAATGCTAATACCGTGTTTGTATCTAGGGATGTTATTTTTCATGAAAATATTTTCCCATTTTCTTTTAATTCTGCAACTTCTTCTTCGTGCTCACCTAATCCTCCAAGACATCCAGTTCCTATCCCACATTGTGATCATGTGCATGATCCATTTCCAAATAAGACAAGTATCACATCCTCGGATGTTCCGGTTAGGAAAAGTGACAGAGTGAGAAAACCTTCTTCATACTTATCTTCATACCATTTCAACCTAGCCACTACTCCTATTCTTTCTCCTCAGTCATGCTCGACTATTTTTCCTATTCAAAATTTCATTTCCTCGACCGGACTTTCTTCCTCACACACAACCTTTATATCGGCTTTATCCGATCTTGATGAACCATATGATTTTAACCAAGTCGTTAAGGTTGCTCATTGGCGAGATGCTATGTAAGCGCAGCTTGATGCTCTCGAGTTGAACAACACCTGGACCATTGTATCACTTCCTCCCGGACATCATAAGTATAGGGTGTAAATGGGTGTATAAGGTTAAACTTCATGCAGATGGTACAATAGACGAGTATAAGGCGAGATTGGTGGCTAAGTGGCTACAATCAGCGAGCCGGTATGATTTCCAAGAGACTTTTAGCCCGATGGTTAAACAAACCACGAGTGCATGTGTTTCTTGCTTTAGCAACTTCTCGTGGGATGGATACTCGTCACGTATGGATGTAAATAATGCCTTCCTCAATAGTGACTTGAAGGAGACAAGTATACATGGATGTTCCTTTAGGGTATCATGTGAAGTGGGAATATACTAGGCATCTCTCGTCAACTTCGAAAATCTTTATATGGATTAAAGCAAGCATCAAGACAAGTGGAATTCCAAACTTACTCAAGCCCCGCTCGTCCTTTGGTTTCACACAATCAAAGGTCGACTACTCTCTCGTTCATCAAAAAGGTTTCTCTTGATAATTTTCTTGCTTTGCTGGTCTATGTTAATGATTTAGTCATTGCAGGGAATTCTATTGATACTATTATAGAATTCAAACAATATTTACACTCACAGTTCAAACCGAAAGATCTCGGCCAGTTGAAGTATTTTTGGGGGTCGAAGTGGCAAGATCGGACAAAGGGATTGTTTTGTGCCAAAGGAAGTATGTACTTGATTTGATAGCAGAGTATGGTCTACTTGGTACGAAACCAGCTCCTACACTAGTTCATCCAAGTGGAAAGCTTGTGCAACCGATATTGGCTTACTTGATAATCCCGCTCAATATAGACAACTCGGTTGGGAAGTTTTTGTATCTTAACTTCACTGCACCGGATATATCTTTTGCAACCCAAATGCTATCTCAATATATGGACAAACCATCTAACTCTCATTTGTAAGTCGCTTTCAAAGTCCTCAAATATCCGAAGCAAGCACTCGGCAAAGGTCTCGTTGTTTCCATCTTCTTCCAATCACAAACTCGGTTGCATATAGTGATAGTGATTGGACTGGATGCAGAGATACTAGGAGATCGATGATCGGTTATTCTATTTTTCTTGGTGGCTCCTTTGTTAGCCGGAAATCTAAGAAACAAACTATGGTAGCAAGAAGTTCAGCTCGAGGCCGAATATAGGGCCATGGCCACTACATGTTGTGAAGTGTGTGTGGTTGTTGAGCTTGCTTGCGAGTTAGGATTTGAGCATAAAGAGGCGATTACATTAAAATGCGACAATCAATCTGCTATTTGCATCGATCGAACCCCGTGCCTCATGAAAGAACTAAACACATTGAAATGGATTGCCATTTCATCGGAGAAAAAGTTGCTCGCTGGAGTTTTGAGACCGAATATGTCTCCTCCGAAAACCAAATAGCAGACTTGTTCACCAAGCCTCTTTAACCTTCTCGCTTCAATTTCTTGCAAGCAAGATGAGCATGATTGACATACATGCTCCTCTCGAGGGGGAGTATCAAAAGAAGGCACCAATGAAGCTTCATCGACGCATTCACCAAAGGAAGTTTTTGAAGCGTGATACCACCAAGCAAGATGGATCAAGTTCTTTAATCCGCATTCAAACATGAAGTGTTGAAAATGAGTCGGCAACAAACCGACGATGTGGTCGCCACATCACAAAACTAATTGCTTATGAAATTTGTTAATTAGTTAGAAGTTTGTTAAAGTTTGTTTGATAGCTTAAATGGTAACAAACAGGTGTTAAAATAAATAGCATATATATAGAGTAGAATAGGTAGAGATACTTTTAAGTTTTTTTTGAATTTTGAAAAACTTCATATTCGTGTAATCTCTTTCTTGCTATTGAACAAGAGCAGCAGCCTAGTTCTGCCTTCTTTCAATATCCCTTTTTTAGAAATTCTTCCTAGCTGGCAACCCACAACAAGAATTGCAAAGCCAAAGAAGGTTGTCCCGGAGAGACCAATTTGGGGGGCAATATGAAGGCCCAATGCGAAGATCCCAGCAAGAAAGAAATCGCAATGTCTTCAGTGGCTTCGATGAGCGACTCTTGCAGAAGCTTTTAACATTGACACAAGAGTAGCAAGACGAATGAAGAATGAAATGACGATAAAGGCATCATTGTCCGAGCACAGTGTGAGTTTCAGGACGTAAGTCCACCACCGAGTTGAGAGGAAGAAGAACTTGAATCCCAAGGGAGTCTAGGTGGAGGATGCAATGGTCTAGAGGAAACTTTCTGCACTGCCAGGTTGAAGCACAACATCAATGACCTAAAACATGACGATGTCTTTAATCCACAAGCAAGACTTCTCACCACAGTTAACAGTCTCAATCTCCCTTCGATATGTTCAGCTCAGTGCCGAGAGAGGTGCTCTTTACCCTGTAATAATCTCTATATAACCTTCATTGAAAGATTATATTTCTGGAGTATCATATGTTATACTTAGTTTATTGCAAATTTGTTAACCATGTACTTTGACGTGAACATGTGCTGTAGAATGTTTTGATGTCACCTCATTGGAACATCAATGGCCACAGCATATTGTACATCACTAGGGGAAATGGAAGGATTCAGATTATTGGAGACAACGGCCAGACATAATTTGACGGACAAATTCGAGGGGATCAAGGACTGGAGTGGGTTATCCTTTAGAACCAATGGCAATGCATAAATCAGTCTGTTTGGAGGGCGCGTCTCTGCCATCCGGTCCTTTTCGGAGGAGGTGCTAGCAAACTCGTTTCAGATCTCAAGTGAAGATGCTAGGAGGATTAAGAATAACAGGGAGGAAGTAGGTGTTTTCGGTCCTTCATCACGACATGGAAGGGATTAAGGTTGCATCTATGCAATTGTAAACTGAGAAAACAAGAGGCTTTATGCAAGAATGGTAGAGTAGGAAAAAATAAGCCTCAGTGGGCATGAAATGCGGCTAGTTTGGTTCCTTGTACTGTGTATGTTTTATTTATTTTTTCTTTCCATGCGAGGAAACTGAGTTTTTGTAGCTATGACTACTGCAAGTTCATATAATAATTGATAATTAATATTGTCATAATCGATCGATATCCTCTATTATCTTTATATCAAACAAAATTAATTTATTATTTTTTAAGTTAAATTAGCATAGACTGACAACTAATCTACTAATTAGATCAAATTAGTTCAAAATGTAACATTAGATCCGAGGTACTAATTAGGTCAAATCAATTCAAAAAGTATATATATATATATTAAATTTGATTTAGAATTTAATTACCGAGTAATTTGATTTGGTAAAATAAATTCAATTCTTAGTAATTTTGATTTTTTGAATTATAATGTATTGAAAGATGGTTATTTTGATTATGTAATCTTTTTCTTTTTCTTTTTTTTTTGAACATTCTGATGAACCATAAAATAAATGGTGATGATTAAAAATCCCAAATGTATAATTTCATTAAGCCGATGGGAGAGAACTAAACTACTTAAGGAAACCTTGAGAGCCTTTGCAGATTATGACAAAGGTACATAATCCATTCATTGAAAAGCCCAAATTCAAAGTATACGGGTGGATGTAGGCAATGTTATAATGGAAATGTAACATTGTGAGGGTTTTTGAAAGCCCAATAAATTTGAGGCCTACCATATCTAGGCCAACCCATTTTTCGGTCAGGAATCCTAAGTCTCGGAAGCAAGATAAAAAATGTGATAATAATAATCTTAAAATTTGTAGGATTTTATTATTATTTGGAAAAACATTAAATATATTTTCAAACTATTGGGATAAGGTTAATTTTTCTATTATATTATTTTAATTTATCAATTAGAATTACTTAATAAAAATGTAAAATTTCCTATAAACTGAGGTCGTTTCTTGCAAAATAATATTATAATTTGAATAAAAAATAATATGACAATTTCAACGAAAAATATGAATATACAAAAAGTTTAAAAAATAGAGAAATAAAGCATTATGTAGTCTTTTACCTTTTGTATGTTTGCAAGGATAATGTTAATGAGCATACGGTACTGCCCCATCTTGCAGATGCTTTTAAATTACTCATTCTAAATGTCAGCAATGTCAGCAATTATGGTGACATATTGCACTGGTTGATAAAAGAAAGAAAACAGATGCTGTCTGGCCATAAAAAAAAAAAAAAAAAAAAAAAAAAAAAAAAATGTTTTTATTTAATCAATAATATCAAATTTTATTTTTTATTTTTTATAAATAATTTAATAATTTTTTTTAATAATATCATGTTTTTATTAATTTGATTTAAAAAAAAAAAAAAACAAGTGCAGTAGTTTGTTAAAATTTAGTCCAAAAATACTCTACTACTCGAAATCTAGTCCATATATATATATATATATATATTGCAAATTTGGTGAATATTCATCCAAATATTTGCAACATCCGGACCGCCTAGAAAATGTCGTTCTATTCCTCGTCTCATGTTCTATTCGATGTCATATTTCATGTAACATCTTCATCCTAAATAGAAAGGGACAAGATCCTGTCAAATTATCATTCCTAAGGATAAAAAGGTGAGACAAAGGTGATATTTCGAAAACTATTCTTATCCTAAACAGGATAGGGTAGGATAGAGCTTTATCGAGACGGATGATATTGTCAACCTTAGACTAACAACAATTGCTTAATAAGGAAGATGTTGCTTGCTAGATTTTTCCCGGCATGGTGCATATTCTAAGGGTACATTGCCAGCTTTACTTATCGATTGTAATGATATTGATAAGGCATGGAGTGTCGATAATGGTCCCATTGTTGCAAATTGGGGCGTGCAAAGATACATGTTGATCCCGTATTCACTCATTGCCGAATAGTGTTGGCTTTTCGACCACTCGTAAACATATTTTTTAATAAAAATACTCCGACACTATATGAATCAATAACGTGATCGAATGAATTTGCTAGAACGACTAATGCTATATCTTATATTCTTAATAAAATAAAATATAGTCGGTCTCCGATCTTTCTATTCCCGATTTCTTGAGTTCTATATTATATGCACGATGACTAACCTTTTATGGTATGAAATACCGGCACATGATCTAAAAAGACACAATTATAGTTTAAACTTCAAATTTTAGTTTGGAGGTTCGAATTCAAATCTCTATTATTATTATTATTATTGATTAACAAATAGTTAGTTGTTAATGATGATTGTTTAGGGACCAACTTGACCATCACAAAAGTTGAGGGGCTATACTACCATTTGAAAAGAATGAGACACGACCTTCGCTTTTTTCAAAAGTTTCCTAGAAACTTTCAAATCCTCATAATACTTAGCCAAATCCATAGTTCTCGGTATAAATTGCTCAAAACCCATCTCAAGAATATATTCGAGCAATAGCCGATACAACACCGTCCAATTAGCAATACCCAAGGATAATTACCACGATAAGCTAAGTAAAACTAGAAAAAAACATATTGTGCCCTTCAATAGAATTCGACTTCTCTAAGCTAAAGAACATTCCTGTCCATATTGTTTTTCCTAACTCATTGAGGGGTGTTCAAGCAAAGTTCTCTAGTTTGGAATGTAAGTGTCATGGTGTGTAAAAGATTCCCGAGGCTTTTTCGGTCACTATGTAGTTAACGATCCAAACAAACGAGTAGTGGAACAAAGCACCTCAAATGTCCATCTCCTCTCCATCGATAAAATTTTAAGGACAAGAGTGCTTCGTTAAGATTGTAGTGGTAGGGTTGATTTTGAGGGATACTACACTCTTAAACACATTTACTACCTCGAAGTCAATCATGCTCTCAGTCGATGGTAACAATACTAACTCTGTTTATACCCAATGCTAGGATTTTGAGTCTAATGCTATTATCCTTGTCATGTAGATGTTTTGTAAATTCCTTTTGGAGGAGATTTCAAAACCATCCTTGCGTCCGACCCCTTCCGGGTTTTTGCTTATCGACAATGGTTGAGTCTACTCCGGGAGCTTGCTCGGGGGGTTGTAGAAATAGACTCGCCTTTCATTTAAAAAAAGCTAGCAAAGCCTCGTACTCTTCTAGTGTGGGTGATATATCCATACTCCTAAAAGTGAAGCAACGGTATTTTGGATTCCAATGTCCTATGATGGCTTGGAAGCACGAGATTTGAACTTTAATCTTAAGTAGTCGAGCTATATCGTCATATATCTTCCGAAAATCAAACTTATCGGTAGAAGTAAACATTTCTCAGCAACTAAGTAGTGGTCCCATATTGGTTAGCTTGTTGATGAGTTTTGCTTTCTTAGGCACTTTCGACACAAAGCTCGATGGTAGACAACTCCCTCATCAATTTGAGCATGCTCGATCCGACCCTAAAATCCTCAATGTCATTTCTAATTTCTTCCGTCATGATTTAATGTGAAGGACTACTTACAAGAACCGAGGGTTAGTATTGACATCATTTGAAAATAATTCGTATCTTAATCGAGTCAATCTTAGTAGACATGATCTAGGTTATTTATGGTTGGCGAGTGTTCGGTCTAGTCCAAAGTCTTTTTAAGCTTCTAAGTCGTCTAAATTACTAGTGGGGTAATCCAACCTCTAACCTTATGCGTTAGGAGGTAATGGAAGGTTATTCTACTATTTCCTATACGAGAGGGTGAGTTTCGAGTCCAAACAAGAGTTCGAAAGAGCATCGGTAGACTTTCGTCATACTTGCTTCCGAATCTCTCTATCTAAATCATAACGGAGTTCGACTTGGCTCCAGAGCTTTTGCGGGTTTCCTTCGTGGTGTGTGCAACAATTCAAAAAACCATATAACCCGAGTTTAAAATAAATTAAATATGTACAAAATTAAAAGAAAATAAATTGCAAAAATTCAAAGACATAAAATAATACAAGAAAATAAATGAGTTGAAAAATAAAAGACATAAAAATAAATGGCAAAAGTAAATAAAGGAAATAAATTTACAAGAACTAAACTTATGGCCTAACATTATGTCTACGAGTGGAGTCGTCATTTTGTCACTATCCGATGTCGAATGGGACTCTCGAAAAAATCTCTAGTTTAAGATTTATTTATTTATAAAATTATTTATAAAATTTGGAGTCGCCACCTAGTATTGAAGGAACTAGGAACCTAAAATGGGCACTCGGATCAAAGATTCTAGAGTAAGGAGTTGGTTACGCTTTTGGGAAGATATTTAATCACCCAAAAGCATCCTTTTATAGGAAAGGTACCACGTGTGGTTTAATCCTAAACTCATCTCCTAAAGTGTTTTATTTTTGCCAAATTACTTTTCAATTTAAAACTCTAATTTTTCAAGTCTTTTATTTTAAGCTAAATTAAGTTTTTTATTTTTGAGCGTGGCATTGTATTGAAATGATCGTCGGATCTCTTCAATCGGGAGACTCGTCGGTTCAAACATCGGATCCACTTTTTGAGCCTCGACACAATCGATGTGTCGAATAACACTTATTTAGTAAAGTGGTTTCTCTTTTTTCTTTTTTTTTCTTTCTTTTTTTTTCTTTTTTGACTAACAACGATCCCTATCGGATATGAGACTTTATTAGGAGTTTTATATATATATATATATATATATATATATATATATATATATTTCCTATTTTTCTTTTATATTTTTATATTTTATTTTATTTTTTGTTATTTTTTTATTTGGTGGAAGATCGTCATCGGTCCCTAAAGAATTAGGAGACTTGACAACCCTTCGACCATTATTTACTAAGCCTAATTACTAAACAAATACATTAAGCTACATTAGTTAAGTAAAGAAAATTTAAATACTAAAGTTTTAACCAATAACAAACATGCATAAAATAAATTCAAAGTTAAATTAAAACAAAATATTACAATAACAAATTCTAAATTAATATAAATTAACTAACATGCACAAATAAACTTAAGATTAAAATTACATTAACTAAATAACTAAAGACAATTCGAGTACTTAAATTAATTACATAACATGCATAAAAAAAAATTATTTTTTTTCTTTTTCTTTCTTTTTTGTGTTGTTCTTTTTTTTAAATATATATATATATATTTGAAGAGTTAGTCCAGCCCAAAAAAATAAATTTGGAAACGGGATGGATAGTCCAACCCATTTCCGTGTGGGTTAGGTTTAACCCAACCCACAAACACATTTTAGCTCCCTTGTTTAAAAAAAAAAAAAAAATTGGATAAAAAACCCTTATTTGTTTTTTCTCCTCCTCTCCTCGTTTCACCTTTTCTTTTTCTCTTTCTTTTTGTTTCCTCTCCTTTCTCTTCTCCTAGCCGAATCCAACCTCCATGCCGGTTCGTCCCTTCTCTCCCCTTTTCTCTTGTTTTTTTTCTTCCTCTCTTTCTTATTCCTTATTCCTCCTTCTCTCTTTTCCCAAATCTCATGTTCTCTTTTCCTCTCTTATGGCCGAGACCGCCATGGACGAACTAGTGGAGGTTCGTCCATGGCCACCTAATTTTCTTCCCTTCATTCCTTCCTATTTCCCTTCCTTTCCTTACCCAATCAAAAACCCCCAAATCAATTTCACAAAATTCTTCCCCAATTTGATCGAACCCTAACTTTTCAATTCTTCAAAAATTCGTTTCAATTAGGGCTAATTGGGTTGATTTCTAGTGAACTTCAATTATTTCAAACTTTAATGGACCCAATTTTAGCAAAACCCCCAAATCGATTTGTTTAAAAATTATCAAGAACCCTATGTTTAAATTGAATTCAATTTGGCTTCAATTTGGGGTTTTAACCTCAAATTGAAACTGCTAATGACCTCAAATTAGGTTTAATTTATACTTCCAAAACTCAATTTCAACCTAATTTAAAAACCCTCAATTTCTAATCATAAATTCAAATTCTGTCAAAATCGAAATTAAAAAGAAATAAGACGAAATTACCTAGAAGGATTGATGGAAAATGATGTGGCTTGCGACTTCAATTAGGGTAAGTTTAATCCCTCTTTCTCTTTTTCAGCTTTTTTCTCTCTTTTGCTACCGATTTCCTTTTTTGTTTTTCTTTCTATTATTTTCCTTCAATTTCAAGCTTCCTTCTTTTTTGTGTTATGACTTGTGTATATATATGCATTGATGCTTGATTCTCCACCATGATGGTGTGAGATTTTTCTTCCGTAAGATTTTATCAAGTGGGGGTTGAATGGGATTGAGTTGTGGGCTATGGCAAGGTGGCTCCCGGCGGTAGGGGTGGCTATAGGGGAGGCCGTTAGTGGAGGTTGTGGGCTATGAGGGAGGTTGGCGAGTGAGAAGTGTTAATATTATTAGAGAGGAGTTTATGGGCTAAGATGATGTCGTAGGAGTTGCGGTAGGTGAAAGGGTTCTGGAATTATTGACTATAGAGGAGGTGGGCAGCTGCAAATTGAGGGAATCGATTGTCGTTGGAATTTGGAGTTGTAATCGGGAACCAAACTGGTTTGTATAACCGGAAACCAAAACTAGTTCTATGAATAGGAAAACAAAATCCCGTAAACTAGTTCAGGCGGGAATGGGTGATCTGGTTGCCCACTCCTATGCAAGTTTACAATTTTCCTTTCTTTTTTTTTTTATTTTTTTTATAATTTTACAATTTTAGTCCCCGTAAATCATTATTAGGTCAATTTAGTCCAAGTGTAATGTAATCTGATCCTTGAACTTTTAATGATTCAATTGTATCCCCAATGCTTGTAATTATTTTGAATTTAACGTAATTGCATTCCTAAATGTTAAATTCAAATTATTTTTGTATTTTTTCTTTCTTTTTTTGTGTTTTTTTTTTAACTAATAAAATGAATAATAGAAAACACACACACACACACACACACACACACACACACACACACACACACACATATATATATATATATATATAATTGATACGAAAATGAAGCAATCCTTACTTTGAAATGATCAGATTTGCTGTCGAAAAGCAGACTGAGGATTTTATTTATTTATTTTATTAGCTAGTCTGGTGAAGGGCACGAAATACAATAAAGTGGACTTTTCTATGAAAGGAAACTTAACCCAATTCGTGTCACCTCTGTCACTTCAGTGCTTGGATTACATCCCATGTCACAAGAACAGGAAATAATGGTTTTGCATGGCTTGATGAAGCCCCTCTGTTTACCGTAGCAGAGATTAGAGAGGCTTGTAAGAACTCATTGACGTAGCTGTAGGACCAAACTGAAATATGCATAAATTTGAGGGATGTCAGCGTTAGGTAGTCCAAACGACTTGACAGTTGCAAAGAGGAGCTAGCCACCAACAAAGAGGGAGAGCAAAGGGCAAGCGCTCCCAGGATAAAAGCTCGGCGAGGGTCATGGCCGACGGACGATCAACTGGCCGAAGGTGAGTCTAACACACCTAACCAATGACTTCTGTTTTAACTCATATACAACTCATACATATTTCTATACAATGTGAAATTTGCTTCTGTTTTAAGATAGTAACTTTGACTACACTATATAATACGCATCCATATATGGAAGAATCATTATTGATTACTCTTGATACAGATCCTGGGCTGATGTAGATGAAGAATCAATCCATGGTCCACCTGATGATTGGATGAGGGACTGAGTTTCACTGATACTCATGACTGAAGATTTATCAGACTTGTGTTTGAAAGCCTTGAACCTCGACGGATCACCGAATGTACTTGGATCCATGACTAATTCTTGAACCTCACCTTTTCCTTCGAGCATTTTTACTACTGCAGACATTTTAGGCCTAAGTGCTGGAGATTGGTTTGTGCATAGCAGTGCTACTTTAATCATTCTAACTACTTCTTTCTTGTTGAACTCAGACCCTAATTTTGGATCAACCAGCTCCATTATGTCTCCATGCTGTTGTAAATTTAGAGCCTGAAATAAACCAAAAGGAAAAACAAACCAAGTTACCAAACACGAACAAACTAAGGAAGAAGCTGGAATTGATCAAAGGAAGCAGCATTGGCCAAAAGGAGGAGCAAACCATTCAAGAGGGAGAGGGGCTGTTTTGGCTGAATTTTTAGGCAAGAAAGAGAAGGGTGATTTAGGAGGTTTTTAAGGTGATTTCATCATCAATCAAACCTAAGGTAAGTGTAACTTCAACTTACCGAACACGATCAAACTAACAACAGAAAATAAACATAGAGTAGCTGTTACATTGTACTGTCTCATGTTCACAAAGTCCGTATTTGATTAGATGAGGCAACTTTAATGTACGAAACTTAGCAGTTAACTTATGTTAAGGTGGTTTAAGAAGTATTCTGTCATCGAAGATACAATAAGATTATTTGGTTTTTGTTTTATATATAAAAACCAAAAGAAGATATTTAGTCCTGAAGTAGTCTACCCTTGTCTGCTGTGGAACTTATGATGGCTGCACAGATTAAGTGAAAATTATATAACTTACCCAATCTAGGAGGCATACAAAATCTTCATCATGTCGAAATCTCATGTTGTTCATCCCAGCAACAATTTCCAAGGCAACAACACCGAAACTATAAACATCTGCCTTATAGGTCAAGTAACCATATAATGCATATTCTGGTGCCATGTATCCCCTGCACAGAAAGAAATAACTCAATGACCTACCTTAGCTTTAGGAAAACAAGTGAAAAATGCGCCCATCTATTTCATAATTAATTTATTATAATTGGTCTACAGTTGACAGATATTAGTTTTGTTTTAACCTGATGACTTGAAAAAGAAAGCTGCAGTGATTCTGGTATGCAGAAAGACTAGCTGAAGAGTGAAATAAGGAGATATCAGAAACTCACATGGTTCCAGCAACTCTTGTGGTGATATGGGTGTTGTCCTCCTCATCAAGCTTTGCCATGCCAAAATCAGAAATTTTGGCATTCATATCCCTATCAAGGAGGACATTTGTAGCTTTTATGTCTCTATGAACGATTTTTAGTGTGGATTCCTCATGCAGGAAAGCTAAACCTTTTGCTATACCAACACAAATCCTCTGCCTTGTACGCCAGTCTAGCTTTATCTGGTCTTCCTTTTTTGCTGTAATCAGTATGCATAGCCCAACCAATCAAATTTTGCACCTTAATTCTTTCTATTTTCCATTCAAAGTGAATTTGTTTCTTCAATCAATTTACATAAAATACTTCAAGGAAATGAGCATGGCTTACCATACAAAACATGCGCCAGACTATTGTTTTCCATGTATTCATATACCAGTAACAATTGCTTCCCCTCAATGCAGCATCCATACAATCTTACAAGATTTGGGTGTTGCAAAGCAGAAATCATGCCTATTTCGTTCACAAATTCACGATTTCCCTGCTTTGATTTGGCCGAAAGCTGCTTAACCGCAATTATAGTACCATCTGATAGTACTCCCTGCAAAGAAAATAATTTTAAATAAATAAGGAAATGAATTCATTTAGGTCTTTCTTCAATAGTAAAGTGGTAAGAAATGAAGTAGCTAGATGAAAGGCAAAGTTGTACTATACTTTGTAGACAGAGCCAAAACCACCTTCTCCAAGTTTGTTTGCTGGATCAAAGTCATTTGTTGCAGCTTTGATTTGTCTGAAGGTGAAGATACCAGTTAGCAGATCTAACCCAACTAGTTCTGTCCAGGGAACAAAGAGGATCAGTTGTGGTGCATGAATGATTCATATGCAAAAACCAAACTTATAAAAGAACATGTCAATTACGGTGAAAACATATAAGCCTTGCACCACATTTGTATAAAGCTGAGACCAAAAAACCATTATATGATAAACAAATTAGGTCACTCAATAATTACGGTGAAAGGGGAGAAAACGGAAACTTTCAGCAATTCTACAGTAAACAGTCTTGATGTTGCTAATTCTCATTGTTGAAAGTGTACTAATAGGCACATTTGAATTCCAAATCAAAAGAATGTCCATACAGTACCTGGATCCCTTGATTTTCTTCCTCCCAGATAACCTTTCCACCAAAGAGCGGATAGAAGTATGAAAATGAGGAACAACGGCAACACCACTGCCCCAGCAACAATGAGCCTCTTCCTCTTGCCTTTATTAGGAGGCTTAAATTCTATGCAGAAATAGAAACAGCAACAGCAACTAATGTCAGTTTACAGAGTTGTGCATTACTATGCCACTTCATTATATGTCAACCTACTCCATGCAACATTGAAGTGCATATAAAAAATTCAGATATAAGAGGTATGACTTACCAGATTCTACATCAATGGCCGATATTAAAGGACCATATATTCCAATTTTCGGTGATGTTGTCGTCCCTTTCCCAGCCCAGTGAAGGCGGATCTCTAATTCTCTATCAGTAACTAATGCTGTATATTTATGAATATATACCTTATCTACCCCTTGTGCTGCCTTTACGATATTAAACTCCTTCAACACAACTTTGTCCTGCAAGAACTTTTCTTCAATCAATTCGTCACCTATTGGATAAGGGATAAATATATGATCCTTAATACCTGAATATAAACATCAAATATCCGTCTTCCAAGACCATAGAAGGATCTGTTGTCCCTCATTACTATTTCTGCAAAGTGAAGCTTCACATTGTATTTCCCATTAACTAGACAGCGCATATGGTATGTGAGAGACAAAGGAGTGAGGCGTGCATTTGTGTACAGTTCAGAGTTGTTCATTCTGAGTATGGACTTATTTTGTGCTATGTAGTCATCTGCAGAAGGACGAATATCCCAGACATGTCCTGTGGTACTTAATTGCCAAACCTCTCCTTTTGGTACATATTTTGTTGCACCTCCTGGCTCATCATCTGCTTCATAGATGGTATTTCCGATGGTGGTCTGTGGTCCACCACAATTTATGTGCACTGAGTATTGGTCTATACAGAATAGTGAAAATGTTAAGGGTCATCAATAAGAGCATTGAGAACAAAAGAAATGAATGCAATTTACTTCAGCACATCCAACTGAACGCAAAACGTCACAGCATTACAAAACAAAAGGAGCATATACCATAATTTTGATGCAAAAGCATGAGTACCTTTTGAACAATAATCAGGCAGGCATTCAACAGGTTTCCTGGACAGATTGGTGAGAGATAACCATCAGCTTATCTTAAAATAGAAATGATAAAGAGAAGAAAATGAAACAATAGCTGTCTTAGAAGTTTATTCAAGTAGAAGCTTACAAGTAGTTGCCTCCCCAAGAACTTTTGAACAAATTTCTGACAAACCAACACAGAAGTTAATTTTATAGGATATGAAAGTGTATGCTGGCATAGAGAGCTGATGTTCCTCAATTAACCAAAAGACTAGGAAAATAAAGTCAATCTTACAGTGTTTCTTTACAAGTAGTAGCCGAATGGCTTTCAGTGAAACTGTTGTAAGAAAGATCAAATTCACTGCATGCAAAGATAGCTTCTTTCAACATTCAGACAACTTTGAACAAATTTTTAAAAGATATTGTAATTGGAAGCAGTTTGATTATTCAAACATAACTGTACTTAAACCTATAAACTCTGGGAAGTCTGTTTATCAGTTTCCCATTAGTATAGTTCTTCAAAATCTAGGACTATTCTTAAAGCTACAGAACAATAATAAATCCTTGTAAACTATAAAAATAATGACTCGCATCTCTTTATTTTGCTCTTACAGGACAAGGGCAAACTGAAGTTGCAACAAAAAGTCGATCATTTCAGTCATCCATATGACAGGGGAGAATAGATGGAGGAAGCACTCCATAATTCTCAGTATTATGCATGCATTAAAGATCATGTTGATAAAAGTACACATTAATTCCTAGGAAAGAATTGTAAATATATTATGAATTAAAATCTCGAAAATTCATAAAGAATTTAAGAAAAATAACATACTAACGAGTATTTCTGCTCTCGATCCAGTTGGGGATGGGCCCAGTAAGCATGTTCCTTGTAAAATACCTATGCAATTAAAAACAATTATCATTCAGATGAATATCTACCAATGATAACTATACCCAAATCATGTCCTGAGACTGGACACAAGTTTGAAGCTTAGGTGATGCACAATATGCTCATCATATGCAAAACATAAATCGCAGAAGATGATCATATGAATTATCGTAATTATCAAATCTAAGCTATGGAATCTTCTAAGTCTATGCTCATAGTTCATTTAATACACTAGAGCAATCATAGAGAACTTGCTGCTGCATTTGGGTTGCAAACTTACAAAAGATGACAGCTGAAGCTAGCCATCCACGTGAATCTAGAATACTTACATTTTCTCCAAGGATATTAGGGAATCATAATTTGTTGGAAGATCACCTGTCAATCTGTTGAAACTGAGATCCCTGTAACCGAGAAGAAAAAAAGTGCAGACTTTTCATAACACTACGTTACGGAAGTTTTTCACAAAAGACAAATAATAAATAATTAGCAACCTAAAGTAGGCTGATCTAAGTATGCTTGGAATTCACACTTCAATATTCATGTAGATGAATGACAAAATTGACAACAAGGGATTGAGTAGATTACAAAACTTTCAGTCGTGTCATTCCTGTCAAATATCTGGGAAAAGATCCTGACAAGTTGCAGTTGCTTAACATCCTGCATCACACACTTCTTTCATGTAAGCTAAATACTGCATTGTAAATATCATGCTATGACAGCATCAACTGCAGGAATGACTCACAAATAGGTCATGCCTTCCATAGGTTCTAGGTTTGGAAACTTTGAACCATCTCCAAGTAAGTTACTGATTCTTCTGGAAAATATTAACCATATAACTGTAAGAGTCCAAGTTTTTATACCTGAAGATTTTGCATCTTAAAAGCAAACAAGATTACAATAGTAACTAAGACCAAGGAACACAACTTACAGTTCAGTTAAAGCACTCAAGAGAGAAATGCTTGAAGGTATGGGTCCTGAGAAACCACCAGCTTGGATCTCTCTGTTTATATAAAATTTAAGGTTGATTAGGTTCTGCTTCCAGTGCTGCAATGATGAGATCTAGAATTTGTGGTAGAAAGAAGCACATACAATTTATCAAGTTGTTTCCAGCTTCGAATAAAATCAGGTATTCTTCCAACGAAGTTATTACTGCTAAGCCTACTGCTTTTTCGCAACACAAGAAGACAACGAAGAAACTTAGAGACTCAGGAGATGCATCTGCTATCAAATACCATAACCAAAAAGATAAGAACCTACAGTTCCTTTAATTTGGTCAAATTAGCAAGAGCCAGGGGTAGCTCTCCAGTGAGATTGTTGGCACTAAGCGTGCTGCAATAACAAAAGACAGAAACATTGATGTCAAATTAGTCTAGCTGTATTCATCACATGAAATTTAACATTGAATAACTGGATATGGATTTCTAAGTTAAAAGGTTGAATGAACTGACATATTCTCCAGGTTAACCAAGTTTCCAAGTTCAGGGGGAACTGTTCCAGAAAACATATTATTCTGAATGTTCCTGCATGAATCCAACCTCAATATCACTACTGGGTAAATATCTTAACAGCTTTAAAAGGAAAAAAGACAAGAAACTGACAAATACAAAATGCATACAAGTATTTAAGTGTACTAATCCTCCCCAGATAGCTAGGAATTGATCCAGTTAAACGGTTTACAGCAATAGACCTGCAGCATATGCAATCTATTAATTTAGTAATACTAAGCAATTGATTGGCTAGAAAAAACTGAAATGCAGCAATTTCTTACAATATTTCCAGCTTTGAATTAGCCCATTCTGGCGGTATGTTTCCACGTAGGTAGTTGGCCCACAAATCACTGCAGAGTAAGTAGAGTTTCTAATTGAATTGAATCATATGTTCTGAAATCACGATTGCTAATATTTGAAGATGTAGTAATTGAAAGCACTACTTACAGATTCTTAAGGTAAGGTAATTTCACAATAGATTTTGGGAGACTACCAGCAAGATCTTGCCCTTTGAGAAACCTGCTTTGCAAGAACACTAGGACCCATCAATTCCTCATTAAAAGGTAAAAATTCCAAACTTCAAATATTGCAAATCAACTTTCTACAATAAAGAAAATAATAAAATAATAGACAATTAATAGACCCAAAATCTTTTGATACCTAGCAATACTCGCCTTTTCTTCAATTGATTCTAAAGCCTAAACTTGTCAAAAGTGAAATTCTCATCTTAGATAAAAATCATTTCGCTGCAATTCACTACATTCTTAGCATGATTATTATATATTTATACTTCTTAGAAAATTCTACTGTACAATTTCATCTGACTTTCCCAACTTCATCTCAATCTTGTTTCACTCATCGGCTAAACCAACAATTTCACAAACTTTTACACGCTAATTCAAAAGGATTCTGCCCTTACAGACAACTACCAACATTACTTTCGAGAAATCTCAAGAAAATAAACAATCTAGCATTAAAAATTCAACTATCTAGAACACTAATGATAATTACAAAGATGAATTCTTGCTCCTAATTTTGCCCTTATAGATGCTACAAATTTAACAAATCAAAAAAGCAAAACAATAACTCAAACACAAACAAAACAAGCATGGACTGTTAAGTGAAGAAATGTACATGGAAACAATGTGGCACACACCCCCAGGAAATGAGCAATCGCAAACAACTTTATTATCAAACATTGGCCTTTGAGATGAAGTTGGTGTTACCCAGCTTGTCTCATTACTGCATGGATCCACGTTATTATTCCAGTCCTTCTTCCCCACTTGTGTTGCTATTTCAAGCAAAGCATCCACTGTTGAAATCAAATGGCACAACTTCTAAATTCTGGGGTGGTAAAATATTACTAGATAGATATTATCTTTACCAAATTAAACACTTTCATGTACCTTCATCACGAGCAAGAAGCCCAGATTGTGCCTCCAGTTTAATAGCTTTCATGCACAACATTAGTAGCATAAGCATAAGTAAGCTGAATGTCATCCTCAAAATATCAGAAACAGCAGCAGCCATCTTCTTCCTCTGTAATGAACTTGGTATTCTCTCCTTGACCACCATAAACGGTGATCGGCTATCTGAAGAGGACTTTGCCCTTTCCAGTATGGTACAATAAAAAACAGTAACAAAAAAACGAAAACTTGCCATGACATTAAGTAATCATTTGCCTGTACCGAGACGCATGGGCCCCTCCCTTTTCAATAATGTACTAATTGTGTTGTATAGGGTGGGAAGTATGGATGCTCAAGCCTCTTATCTTTATCTTAGTCAACTATGAGATTGCAAATTGAAGCAAGAGAACGAGAGAAAGTATATGACCTTCTGTTATGTTTTTGAATATGAAATAGGGTAGTTGATAGATTTTGACTATTAATTTGATACGTTAGCTTGCAGGGTTAAAATATTGGAACAAGCCTATGTACTACACTGCTATGGTCATGATCCAATTTGAATATATTCTTAAATGTTATCTTTTTGCAACTTACCATAAAATATTAGCAAAGGAGCATCATAGTCATGACATGATTCGAATCCGGCACACCTTTTTCACCTTCAACATATATATATATATATATATATATATATGTTACATTTTTATCCAATTTTTATTTTATTTTATTTATTTATTTAGTGTCCAATTGTTGATTTTTTATGATTGGCTACCCAAGTTTTGATTTTTTATTTATTTTGATACATAAGTTCACCTGAATCTTGATTTTGCTTATGTGTCTAGTTAAATTTGACACGTGGCATTTTCAACTCTATCGTGTGGGGACATCATCTTTTTAAGCAACTATGAACACTCAAATAGAAAAAAAAAAATTAAAGATTGAGCACCTAAATAGAAAAAAATATGGACACCAAAAATATAATTTTTTCAAAAAATTTATTTTAGTTTTCTCACACCAAATGTTTATTCCCTTTTTGTACTGCGATATATTTTTTCTTTATTATAAATAGATTTTATGCACTTCTTATACTTTCATAATATATATAATCTCTCGAAACTTTCTTTTTGATATTAAAAGTTACATAATTTTAAATTCTAAAAACATCAACAATTATATATATGCATATTTTATTATTATTATGCTAATTGCTCAAGCAATTTTAACAATGCGTTCTATCGTTTAGTTTAATTCATAGTTTACTTATTATCTCTATCATTATCATCATTACTAAAAAAAAAATTGCATTTATGCGCTTAAATAAAAAAACTTGATCATTAAACTTATTTATACCGATTCTATCTCATCTCGGATTACTATAAGAAGTTCAACAAGTTATTGGTTATAACAAGGTTATGTCACTTATGATATTTTGGTTAATTTTCTTCCTAAATAGAGGAAGCAATTTTTATTTTTTGTAGCTTTCTCTATTGACTAACTATTTGTTTAGCAAATGGCAATCATAATAAGATCTTATATGTCTTTTATTTTTCTAAATTTAATCCTAATTAGACTTCATATATATTTGGATTAAATAACATAATTTTAAATTTGTCTATACATGTAAACGGGTTTAGAATTTTTAAAAAGTAAATTTTAATTGATGTAGGATATTAAAAATTACCATTGATAATTAAAAAAAAATTTCCATGAGTATGATATGCAAAATATTTATCAAAAATTGTTGGACTAATTTTATAATCTCAAAACAATAAATTTATTAAAAAAACTACATATTTGGTACCCAATCTTTAATTTTTTTTTAATGCTTAACCTTTGATTTTTTTTTTTTTCCTTTTATTTAAGTGCTCATATCTACATGAGGTGTTGACAAGATAGATCTTGCCGCATAAGTTAGCAAAATCGGGATTAAGGTGAACTCAAACACTAAAACAAACAAAAAATCAAAACTTGGGTGGTCAATCATAAGAAATCAACGATTGAGCACCAAAATAGAAAAAATTGAAAGGTTAGGTACCAAAAAAGCCTATATATATATATATATATATATATATATCCTTCTAGATATCTTAGATTTAAAAACCTAGACTAATGAATCATTATCCTGTCGAGCACATAAAATGAGAATAGTTATACTTAGGTGCTTGTTTGATAATCGGGAATAGAGTGGTGGGAATGGGAATGGAAGTTTTATTTCCATATTCTCGCTGTTTGGTTAAAAGGAATGAACTGGGAATGAGAATAAAGAGTGGGAATGGGACTCGAAAATTTACACACAACTTCATTTCCAGATAAGATGTGGGAATAAAAAACAAAGAATGAGAATGAATTTTTTTTCAAAATAATAACGTATTTTGTTTATTTATTATCTATTAACTATTTTTGACACCATCACCACCACCACAACTATAACCACCACTATTATTATAACAACCACAACCACCACCACTACCACTATCTTCATCACTATCATCACCACCATCACAACCATCACCACCACTATCACAACTACAACCACCACCATCACTATCATCACCACCATAACTACTACCACTACTAACATCATTACAACCACCACCATCACTACAACCATCATTATCACAATCACAACTACCATCACTACCGTAATCATTACCGTCGCTACCACCACCATCATCACAATCACTACCATCACCGTTATTATTTTTATAACTATTATAGTTTAATAAAATTATTTTTTAATCATTATTTATATTTGTATATAAAATCGGATATTAAAAAATTTAAATTACTTTTCGATTCCTTATTAGTATTCCAAACACGGTATTGGAATACAAATACAATTTCGATTCCTTAATTTTCATTCCGATTCTTGTATTTTCATTTCCATCACTTTATTCCCGATTACCAAACAAGACCTTAAAGTTTTTTACACATATAAAACTAGAAACTGAAGTTATTTGATTGAACGACTAGAGTCTTTTCTTCTTAAGTAACTCCTTTTTATTAACATTAATTTATACTCTGTTTATGTTTTTCGGATTGATCAAAGCTATGACATGTAGTAAAGGATTTCTGTTTGCGCATGAGAATTTGAACTTGGAGGTTTTTATGATGGTCCGATGGAAGTTTCCCGTGATGGTGGCCAGTAAAAGCATTTATTTCCTTATCTCACTTTCTGGTAGTCGTAGGGTGTGGATTTTCTTTTTGAAGTATACATTATACAAGTCAAGGCACGTTTTGTGGAAATAATCAAATTTCGTTTTTGCTTTTTTGAAAACTTGTGCAAAGATTAAATAATTTGGGAAATTATTTAAAAAATGTTACATTTTTGTGTATTTTGGAAGGTTGATCATTTTGTCTTTGATAAATTCATTCAATTAAATCCAAATATCCTTCTTAAAGAAAGAAAAGAAGAAGAAATGAAACACAAATACAACAAAATTAGGAGCTGTTTTGCGGTAGATTTTACGGTTGATTAGTCCTACTAAAGAGAGGTAGTTTGGAATTAATATTAGTAGAAGAAATTTTTTTTCCCGGTTTCACACCTATATGCGAAATTTATGGTCAAGGTCAAAGATGGTAGCCTATGTCTTAAAAGCTTTCACTTTTTAGAATTTTTTCATTTGTGATGGTTTGAAAAAATGAGAATGCATCGATTGTTTGAGATCTGACTGAAAAAAGTTGTTTTTGACGTATTTATTCCCTTTTTCTATTTTTTTATTTTAATTATTAAAAATTTATTATATTTGATTTTATCATTATAACAAAACAAAAAACAACTATAGCATTCTACTGTTCACTTTTTCTTTTTCTTTTTTTTCGTTTCTGTTACGGCTTCCAAGCTTTTAAGGAAATTGCTTTTTATTTTGATCCTCTTGTACTATAAACTAAAGGAAAATGAGTTTTCATCGTAGCAATAAACGAGTAATAAATACCGTTTAACACTATTTATTATTGTTCTTTTTTTTTGCCAGCCCTTTTTGGCCTTCTTTTCCTTTTTTTCCCTATTACCGTTTATTGAACAAGAAACGGCTTGCCTCCTCTTTTTTTCTGAATAGTTTTTTTTTTTTTAATTTTTGTCCGTTTATTGTTCACATGAACAAGTAAATGGCAAGCTTCCTTTTTTTTTTTTTTTCTAAACATTGATTTTTTTTTTAATTTTCGTTTTTTAATAAAGTTGGGTGTTAACATTTTAAAGGAACCAACAATTAATAAGGTATTAAAATTTTGAAGAAACCAACAATTTATTTTTTTATTATTTATTTTTAAAATTTAAAATATCTAATTTTTCTTTTGGTGTGATCAATTTTTTATTTTCGTTTCTAAAAAGTGATTTGTTTTTTTTTTTTAATTTTCATTTCTGAATAATGTTGGGTGTTAAAATTTTAAAGGAACCAACAATTAATTGGGTGCTAAAATTTTGAAAGTACCAACAATTTAATTCCTTTATTATTTATTTCTAAAGTTTAAAATATCTAATTTGAAAAAATAATGTTTTTTTTCTCAAAAACTAATTATGTCTATAAACACATACTATCACATAATATAATTTATTAATTAACAATTACATAAGATGTATTTCTCAAAAAAAAAAAAAACATATATTATAATAAAGAATTTTATTACTCATGGTTTGTCATTTATTACTCTTTTCATTAATTTTTTATTTGTTTTAAATTCTTATCCAATTAATTTAAAATTATATTTACTCATAGTTTTGATTTATTTTAATATTATTCATCCAATTAATAAAAATTAAATTCATATTTTTTTCAAAAATCAATATTCTCATCAACATGAAATAAAAAAAATATTTATTCAATTCTATATAAGCTTTTAGTGATTGTTATTTTTGTTTTTCGACACAATCTTATAAAATACTAAAGCTTTTTTAAAAAAATTATTTAATTTTCTTTTTAATTAATAATCCATGGATTAATAAGGATAAATCCTTTTTGTAAAGAAAAAAATATGAAAAACATAAATAAGAAATAGTTAAATACAAAAGGTTTGATTAAAAATTATAATTATTTTTTTACCTTTGATTTCATATATTATTATAGATTCATATCATAAAACAGATTATTAAACTAAAATAATTTTTTAAATAATTTTATATATTTTATCTAATTCGCAGCGTAGCGCATGTCAAAAATCTAGCAAAAACTA